GCTGACACACAGCAGAGCTCGGTGGCCCAGTCCTGGAGGCTGAAGCCCAAGGTCCAGGCGTGGCAGAGCCGTGTCTGCGGAGGGTGTTCCCCGGGTCATAGACCACGCCGTCCGCAGACCTCGCACGGCTCACGTGGTGGAGGTGGCGGGAGCTCTCTGGGGTGTCTGCTGTGGCCGCTGTTGGAAAGCGTCTCTCTGTGTTGTCCTGTCCTCCCCTGCTGTCCTGGACGGGGTCGGCGCTCAGGACGGCAGTGGCCTGTGAGCAGGGAAGTGGCCCTGTGTGCCCGGGGAGTTACTGTCCTCCTTGGGTTCGTGGGCGGAGTCACCCTTGCAGTGCGCAGGTGCCCATGACTGTCCTCGGGTCAGGAGCGCCCCGTGGGTACCGCGCTCCTCGAGGCGTGCCCCTGCCGTCCCGCGGCGCTGATCCCAGTCCTCGTGCTTGTCCTCGTGCAGGGTCAGCTGCGCTGCAAACCTGTGTGCTCGCCGGCTCGTGGCATCTCTTCTTTTCCTCTCTGCTCTCTGTTGCATTTTCCTCCTTCTTTTAACCTGGGTTGGACGGACCCAGGCGCCCACACTGTAGGCCAGCGCCCTGCCCACAGCCACCACCCCAGGACTTAAGTTTGTTTTGACTCAAGTTCTCCTTAAGCTGCCCAGGCTGGCGTGGAGCTGGAGATCCTCCTGCCTCAGCCTCAGGGTAGCCAGCGTCCCAGGTGTGCGCCACTGTGCCCAGCTCTTTCTCCTTCTCTGCTACTTTTCTGCGTGTCCTTGTCCTGGGACTCTGCCGTCCTTTCCGTGTGTGTGTGTGTGTGTGTGTGTGTGTGTGCGCGCGCACGCGCGTGTGTGTGTGCGATAGTGTTAGAGTGACCTTTCCCGTGGGTGCCGTGGGGCGCTAGTTCTCGGTCAGGGTGAGCGCTGTCCTCTGCGTGCAGCAGTGCAGGCTGCTGCTGGGCCTCACGCCCCGTCCTGGGCCGCCCGTGTGCTAGGGATTACCGGGCACCAGCACGCACTCCCTCCGCGGGTTCCGTCTGCACCACCCCACCGGCGTGTGGGGCGAGGGCCCGGCTCCGGGCCGGCCAGACCTCCCGGGGCTGCGTGCGCAGGTAGCGTCTCGGCAGCCCCGTGGTCCGTGCGTAGCCCGGGGGCACTGACCGCCCGCCGTCCCCAGGCCTGCGGCTGCCCGCTCTACTGGAAGGGCCCGCTGTTCTACGGCGCCGGCGGGGAGCGCACCGGCTCGGTGTCCGTGCACAAGTTCGTGGCCATGTGGAGGAAGTGAGTCGTGGGCGGGCGGGCGGGGATCCCGG